ATATTTATAGTATGTGGCTGGCCCCCAAAGCCATTTGAGTCTATAATCCCTGGTTGGATCCTCCAGCCCTTTTCCTGCAGGGCCATACCAGGGGAGCAGTTGATGGGGTCAGAGGTTTTTGCAAGATTACACAATCAAAGCTTGGGAAAGGCCAGTACTGTCATTGGTATTATTAAGCCCCCAGTGGGATACATTACCTCTGTTGCCCCTTCCTGCTCTACGCGTCCAGTCTAGGGGCCTGCCAGACCCTCTGTGGCTCTCCCTGGTGCTGGTTTTTGTGTGAATTCCAAAGGTTCGCCCTCCTCAGACGCACCTGTTCTCCCACAGGTGCTGGGCCCCAGGGAGGAGCTGCTCCGTGCAGCAGGGGCCCCCGCAGGCCTCTCTGCTAGTTTGCACTGTATTTGTGAGATAATTACTAATGACACAGATCATTTTTATTAGCTGAGCTGTCTGCATTAAAATGATAGATATTTTTTATTAAAAACATCCGAGGGAGCTGCCATCACAGTAGGAGAAGGATAATTTTCCGTTCAGTTTAAGAGCAGATGGTTGCTGAAATGTTCAATGTAAATAAATTGAGACTCTGCCTAAGTGTTGGGTAAACATAATGCAAATGCACTGACCTGCTTCGAGCCTCCTGCCCTCTGGGGCTCTCACAGCCCCTCCTTCAAGCCTGTGAGCCCTACCCTACCAATAAGGGGACTTCTCCCCCGAGCAACATGGAAAAACCAGGCCACCAGGTGCAATGGTCTGAGAGACGGGCAATGATCTGCTAGGGTCCACCCCAGAGCTCTGGGTGCTGCTGATGTTGTTACGGAAGCTGGAGCTGGAGAGGCCAAGAAGCCGGGCCAAAGAGAATGGGTCCAACCACAGAGCGATGGTCTGGGCAGGGGTCAACCTGTCTGGGCACCAGGTCTTGGGCAAGTCCTCTCCCCTCTCTGGACCTCAACCTACCATCTGAGAAGTGAAGGCCTTGGATCAGCCATAGCGCCCAAAATGGACTAAAAGGAGGAAAGTTTCCATTAAAAAAAAAAAATGTTTTAGCAACCAAAGTGATTTGAAACCATTGAGATAAACAGGTTTCTTTATTGAAGGGTTTCTCAGAATATTTACTGTGTCAATGTGGATTGTATTTCTCCAAAATGGTAAGAGTAATTAGAAGATCCCAAACTCAGTGTTCACGGAGCCTTTTTCCCCCGAGGTGCACTGCACAGTTTGGGGAATGCTGGCTGAGAGGTTTTGCCAAGGGCTCACTCAGCTCTGGTGTTCTCTGCTCTGTGGGTCGATGTCATCTGAAGACAGTCCCCTGCTCACTGAGTCGTTTCGCAAGCATTCACAGACTGCTGACCACGTCTGTGGCACTGAGCGATGAGCTGAGCATACAGCGGTGCAAAGAACACAGATGCTGTGAGTCCCCCCCGTACACCCACAGCCTGCCCCAGAGGCTGCCTGTGGAAGTTTACACCCATCTACCCATTTCTGCATCACGTTGCCTACATGCATTTTTCCAGCTGTGCCAGCATTGACATCCCAGGAGTAACCTTCAACCAACAAGGGATGGGAGTTAATAAACAAATATCCCAGCTTTCTTGCCTTCTAGGGGGACAATTCTGAGGCATATTTACAAACTCTCAGAGGTTCCCCAACAAGACTGAGTTCTAGCTGCTCACAGCAGTCATCCCCTGATAGGCAGATTCCTTGCTGACTTTCTCCCTTCTCCATGTATCTTCCGACTCCCTCACAGTATATTTAGGGATCATCTCCCAAATTAAATATTTATACCTAAGTTCTTGTCTCAGTCTCTGCTTGGGTGGAAACCCAAACTAAGACAGCCCCTGCTCTCACAGACCTCAGGGTCTGGTGGCAAAGGCAGCAAGAAATGAACGAATATTGATCATAAATTGCAATGAGAGATGGAAAGTGAAAAAATCGTGATGCAGCACAGTGTGAGGGGAGGAGCTAATTCAGGGAGATTTTACTGAAGTTCACTTTGGTCCAGCCACTGGGGATTCAAGACTCAGCAACCCAATCTCATGAAGGTGACAGAGAATCAAAGTCTAATGTACTGCGAAAGAAGCAATAATAGAGGAGAATACAGAGGACAGAGGAGGGACCACCCTCTGGGACATGGAACAACCTGCTGCTTGGGACTTTATCCCACCATAATGGAGATCTGGTCTAAGGGCCTCATTCACACTAAAGTGTAAAAGACTAACATCTTCTGAGATATGAACTTTCTTCAAAGATGAGTGGCTTTCTCTACATTAGCCCTTGGAGAGGGCTGAATTGCTCCTCCCATGGAATCTTTCAAAAGCCCTTGAAGGTATTTTATGTTGGCAGGTGCTCGCTTCACCAATGTGAATGTCCTGTCCTATCCCCACCAATTCCTCCTCCTGGGAGCAGTTATGGTGTTGGAGGGAGCCACCCCTCTTACCCTGAGATTTCAGGCCATGGCTCCTCAGAAAGAGGAAGGAACAACTCTATCTGCCCGTGCTCTGAGACACTGACAGTGGCTTCCACCTGAATCGAAGAGGAACCAAGAGCATTTCCCCCATGAATAAGCTGTGTGTCTCTCATTAGAAAACTGGAAGGAGCAGAGGAACAAGAACATAACTAGTCTCTAAATTAAAAGATGGGCTTGCAGACAGAAACGTTGAGAGAGAGACGAGGAGGAAGAGAGAGAAAGGAATGACTCTCACCGACTTTGCCAACATGATGATGGACACTATGAGATTATCTACGAATTTTACTTATTTCTTAGTCATTTTCTGTGTCCCAAGTTTTCTTTGTTGAGTATGTTTCAGTGTTCTTTTTAAACAAGTGTACTCTTTTAGACAGACTCAACTGGTGTAGCACAGTAGGTATTCAATGAATGTTTGTTGATCTTTTATGAAAACAGGGGCCATGCTGCCCCAAAATGTCCCAGACTCAGTTTCTCAGGGTAGGAAGAGTCTGTGAGGTCACCTTTTCAGATGCAAAGCCCTTTCTTCACGGCAACCCTTCCTCAGAAGCTCAGCAAAGGGAAGAGTAGGTCTGGGTAAATAGGGGTAGGGGAGGTGGTTAAGTACCTCCAGCCACTGAGACACCACCTTAGAGTCCCTGGTAGTCCACAGACTTTATCATGAAAATTGTGATTTTGCCCCCATTCCATCTCCAAACACACACCTTTTTCAAATTTGATTACAGGAGGCTCAGAAAGAAACAATGGATCCAAGATCATACAATGACTTGGTGGCCAAACCAGTTTACAGCCAAAACTTGCCCTAAATGGGCATCTCTTTACTTTCACTGATTTAACCGTCCATCATGAACAAACTGCTGTGGCCGTGGGTCGGGGGAGGGGATACACCAGTTGTCTGGAGTCCATCGGGGCTCACCCTTGAACCTGGTGTTCAGCGAGTCTCACATGCACCAGACTAAGGGGTCCTGCTGGTTATCATTGGGCACTGTTAGAGGGAGAGGCGACAGAGCCAGGACGCCAATCCAGGAAGCCCCTGTTAATTCTATTGGACCAACATCCCTGCATCTCCATGGCTGTATGTGCAGATGACATATCTTTCTTCCTGGAAGCAGATGGTCTCTCAGGCCTCCCACTCCAAGGGGTTAGCAGGGGACAGTGCAAAACCAGGAGACCAGGCTCTGCCACTTGTTAGCTGTGTGCCCTTGGACAAGTCACCTCCCCTCTCTGGGACTCAATTTGCTCCATTTTAGGAAGGAAGACGAGATCAGGAATGGCCGAAGGTTTACTCACCTGGCAACTGTGGTCAGTTGGTGGAGACTGCCCGGAGAGAGTGCTGAGGCTACATCTGAGCTCAGTGGGCCATGGATGTTCCTTCCCCCAGAACAAGGAGTTCGTACATGACTGTGTAGCACTCCTTGTTCTATAGGAATAAGCAGCGCTAGGTCTGGGGATTCGTGTGACCCCCCTGAAATTCCAAGACCTCCCCAAGGACCTCCTTCTTCCCTATAGGTTTGTCCCCAACTCTGCCAGACCCAGAGCTTAGGGGTCATCCAATCAGAGGGTGAGGATAATGAGCTCTTAATTATAGGGGCCTTGGACAGCCACCCCTGGCCGATCCCCCAAAGCTGCCCCAACCTCTGCACCAGGATGCAGGGAAGTCTGGAGGAGAGAGTGGTACCCACAGGTTGACCTTACTCTGTACAGTAAGTGTGTGTTCCTGAGAAAATTGCACTCAAATTGAATTTTTATAAATGGAATCCTATTTCAGCAATGATTTACAACACAATTTCCAAGACACTTTATCTTCATTTTGAAGTAATGTTCCTAACATTTTAGCTTGGAACTCTCTTTCCTTTTATAAGCACTAAGAGTTTTCCAGTTAGATGAGGCCACAGAAACCACCAAGTCCTACCCTTTCAATTTCTGGGAAATTGAGGCCCAGAGAGGGAAGGAGACTAGCATTTGGCAAATAGCTACAAGGTCCCATTTTAGTTCTTTCTGCGCCTTGTGTCACCCAGTTTTCTAACAATATCATAAAATGGGATTGACATCATCCCCACTTTACAGATGAAGAAACTGAGGTTCAGGCAGATTACATCACTGGCACACACCCAGCTGGTAAGCGGCTCCTTCAAATCTTCCAAGGACTTCTGTTGCCCACCCAGCTATGATCTACGAGGATCTGCATGACTGAGCCCCTCACCCACACCCCTCCAACCTCACCCGCCACCTTTCTAGTGCTCAAACCACACCTCAGGGTCTTTGCCTTTGCTGTTCTCTCTGCCTGAAATGCTCTTCCCACTCATTTCTGGCTGCATTCTCCTTCATTCAGTTATCACAACTCATCACTCACACCAACAAAGAGTCTCACCCTCCCAACTACCCACACACCTATTACATTACCTAATTTTCTTCATAACATTTGTCACTCTACGAAATTACTTCTTGAGTTCATTGATTTCTTTGTTTATTGTCTCCCGATAGAATGTAAGCTCTGTGAGGACAGGCACACACCTGCCTCTCCTCACTGTATCGCCAATCGCTAGGCCCGGGGATGCAGAGCGAATGAATGGCTATTGGATCTGAGATTCAAGTCCGGATCTATACAACTTTTTTTTTTCAATTAACAATAATCGCGCCTCGGATAAACCTCATTGGCTACGATACTGGCACTGCGCAAAGCTGAATCTATACAACTTTTTAAAAATCATTATCATCGCCCTGGCCGGTTTGGCTCAGCTGTTAGAGCGTTGGCCTGCGATCCGGAGAGACCCAGGTTCAGTTCCCACTAAGGGCACGTACCTCGGTTGCAGTTTGTCCCCGGCCCTGGTCGGTCGTGTGGGTGGCAGCCACTCGATGTGTTCCTTTCATATCGATGTTTCTCTCTCTCTCTCTGTTCCTCTCTCTCCCTCCCACTCTACCTGAACAAAAAATAGAAAAAATGTCCTCAGGTGAGGATAAAAAATTTTAAAAAATTTTAAAAAAAATCATTATTATCAGCAAGTAATTTCTTAATAGAAAAGTTCTTCGAAATATGGTATTTGGGGGTTGTTTCTTAAAACACATCTGGGTTATCACAGATGAAATATTCTTTTTTTTTTTTTTTTTTTGAAATTTTTATTTATTTATTTATTTTTTTGTTACAGATATTTTACCTTTTTACCCCATTGGCACCCCCCACCCCACCCCCCCTCCACCCTGTCCCCGGCTTAGTTGTCCATGTCCATTGGTCATGCATACATGCATATAAGTTCTGTGGTTTATCTCTTCCCACCCCCCCACCCCCCATCCCCTCTTCTGAGGGATGTCAGTCTGTGCCCCACTTCCATGTGTCTGGGTCTACTGTATTCCTCAGACTGTTATGTTCATTATATTCCTTATATAAGTGAGATCATGTGGTATTTGTCCTTCTCTGCTTGGCTTCTTTCACTTAGGATAATACTTTCCAGGTCCCTCCATGTTGTCTCAAAGGATAAGAGATCTTTCTTTCTTACTGCTGCATAGTATTCCATTGTGTATATGTACCACAGCTTTTTGATCCATTCGTCTACTGGTGGACACTTGGGCTGTTTCCAGATCTTAGCTATTGTAAATAGTGCTGCTATGAACATGGGGGTACATATATTCTTCCTGATTGGTGTTTCAGGCTTCTTAGGGTATATTCCCAGCAGTGGAATCACTGGGTCAAATGGAAGTTCAATTTTTAATTTTTTGAGGTAGCACCATATTGTTTTCCATAGCGGCTGCACCAGTCTGCATTCCCACCAGCAGTGTATTAGAGTCCCCTTTTCTCCACACCCTCGCCAACACTTGTTGTTTGATGATTTGTTGATGGCGGCCATTCTGACAGGTGTGAGGTGATACCTCATTGTTGTTTTAATTTGCATTTCTCTGATGATTAGTGATGTTGAGCATTTCTTCATATGTCTCTTGGCCATTTGTATGTCCTGTTTGGAGAGGTGTCTATTCAGCTCCTCTGCCCATTTTTTAATTGGGTTCTTTGTCTTCCTTTTGTGGAGTTGTATGAGCACTCTGTATATATTGGAAATTAACCCCTTATCTGATACATCATTGGCAATGATGTTCTCCCATACAGTGGGTTGCCTTTCCATTTTGATGATTGTTTCTTTTGCTGTGCAGAAGCTTTTTAGTTTGATGTAGTCCCATGTGTTCATTTTCTCCTTTATTTCTGTAGCCTTAGGTGATGTATCAGTGAAAATTCTGCTCCGTATGATGTCCGAAATTTTGTTGCCTACATTTTCTTCTAGAATTTTTATGGAGTCACGGGTCACATTTAAGTCTTTTATCCATTTTGAGTTTATTTTTGTGTATGGTGTAAGTTGATGGTCTAGTTTCATTTTTTTGCATGTAGCTGTCCAATTTTCCCAACACCATTTATTAAAGAGGCTGTCTTTACTCCACTGTATGCTCTTGCCACCTTTGTCAAATATTAATTGAGCGTATTGCCTTGGGTCCATTTCTGGGTTTTCAGTTCTGTTCCACTGGTCTATATGCCTGTTCTTGTGCCAGTACCAGGCTGTTTTGGTTACAGTCGCTTTGTAGTATAACCTGATATCTGGTATTGTGATCCCTCCAACTTTGTTCTTCTTTTTCAAGATTGCTGTGGCTATTCGGGGTCTTTTTTGGTTCCATATGAACTTTTGAAGTATTTGTTCTAGTTCTATGAAATATGTCGTTGGTATTTTGATGGGGATTGCATTGAATCTATAGATTGCTTTGGGTAGTATGGACATTTTAATGATGTTAATTCTTCCAATCCATGAACAGGGTATGTGCTTCCACTTTTTTATATCTTCCTCTATTTCTTTTTTCAATGACCTGTAGTTTTCTGCAAATAGGTCCTTTACTTCTTTGGTTAAGTTTATTCCTAGGTATCGTAATTTTTTTGGAGCGATGGTAAATGGGATTGTTTTTTCAGTTTCTCTTTCTGTGAGTTCATCATTGATATACAAGAATGCCGTCGATTTCTTGACGTTAATTTTGTATCCTGCTACTTTGCCAAATTCATTTATTAAGTCTAATAGATTTTTGATGGAGTCTTTAGGGTTTTCTATGTACAATATCATGTCATCTGCAAATAATGATAGTTTCACTTCCTCCTTTCCAATTTGGATCCCTTTTATTTTTTCTTCATGTCTGATTGCTGTGGCTAAGACTTCCAGTACAATGTTAAATAAGAGTGGCGAAAGTGGACATCTCTGTCTTGTTCCTGTTCTTAATGGAAATGTTTTTAGTTTCTGTCCATTGAGTATGATGTTGGCTGTAGGTCTTTCATATATGGCCTTTATTATGTTGAGATATGATCCCTCTATTCCTACATTGCTGAGCGTTTTTATCAGAAATGGATGCTGGATTTTGTCGAATGCTTTTTCAGCATCTATTGATATGATCATGTGGTTTTTATTCTTCATTTTGTTTATGTGGTGTATCACGTTTATTGATTTGCGAATATTGTACCAGCCTTGCATCCCTGGAATGAATCCCACTTGGTCGTGGTGACTAATTTTTTTGATGTATTTCTGGATCCGATTTGCTAGTATTTTGTTCAGGATTTTGGCGTCTATGTTCATCAGGGATATTGGCCTGTAGTTTTCTTTCTTCGTAGTGTCTTTTTCTGGTTTTGGAATTAGAATTATGCTGGCCTCATAGAATGTGGTTGGAAGTCTTCCTTCTTCTTGAATTTTTTGAAATAGTTTGAGGAGAATGGGTGTTAGTTCTTTTTTGAATGTTCGGTAAAACTCCCCTGTGAAACCATCTGGGCCTGGGCTTTTGTTTGCTGGGAGAGTCTTGATTACCTCTTCAATTTCCTTAGTTGTTATTGGTCTGTTCAAGTTTTCTATCTCTTCCGGGAATAGTTTTGGGAGACTGTGTGTTTCTAGAAATTTGTCCATTTCGCTGAGATTGTCGAATTTGTTGCCATATAGTTGTGCATAGTAGTTGTTAACGATCTTTTGTATTTCCGTGGTGTTGGTTGTTACTTCACCTCTTTCATTTCTGATTTTGTGTATTTGGGTTCTCTCTCTTTGTTTCTTGGTGAGTCTAGCTAAGGGTCCATCTATCTTGTTTATCTTTTCGAAAAACCAGCTCTTTGTTTCATTGATCCTTTGAATTGTTTTTTTGGTCTCTATGTCATTTATTTCTGCTCTGATCTTTACTATTTCCTTCCTTCTACTTGCTCTGGGGTTTTCTTTTTGTTTGCTTTCTAATTCTTTAAGCTGTGAGGTTAGACAGTCAATTAGAAATTTTTCTTGTTTTTTGAGGTAGGCCTGTAGTGCTATGAACTTCCCTCTCAGAACTGCTTTCGCTGCATCCCATAGATTTTGTGTTGTTGTGTGTTCATTTTCATTGGTTTCCAGGAAGTTTTTAATTTCTTCCTTGATCTCATCGGTGACCCATTCATTGTTTAATAACATGCTATTTAGCCTCCATGTGTTGAAATGTCTTTGCATGTTCTTGTTGCAATTGATTTCTAGTTTCATGCCATTGTGATCTGAGAAGATGCTTGATATGATTTCAATCTTCTTGAACTTGTAGAGATTTAGTTTGTGTCCTATCATGTGGTCTATCTTTGAGAATGTTCCATGTGCACTTGAGAAGAATGTGTATTCTGTAGTTTTGGGGTGTAATTCTCTGTAGATATCTATTAAATCCATTTGGTCTAGTGCTTCATTTAGAGTCTCTGTTTCCTTGCTAATTCTTTGCCTAGAGGATCTATCCAGTGCTGTCAACGGGGTGTTGAAGTCCCCTGCTATGATTGTATTGTTGTCGATTTCTCCTTGGAAGTCCTCCAGGAGATTTTTAATATATTTTGGTGCTCCTATATTGGGTGCATATATGTTTATCAAGGTTATATCTTCCTGTTGGATAGATCCTTTCAATATTATGTAGTGGCCGTCTTTGTCTCTAGTTATGGTCTTCATTTTGAAATCTATTTTATCAGATATGAGAATTGCTACCCCAGCTTTTTTTTGCTTTCCATTTGCTTGGAAAATTTTTTTCCATCCCTTCACTTTCAACCTATGTGAGTCTTTTGTTGAGAGGTGGGTCTCTTGTAAACAACATATAGATGAGTCATGCTTTCTTATCCAATCAGCTACTCTGTGTCTCTTTATGGGAGCATTCAATCCATTTACGTTTAAGGTGATTATTGATATGTACTTATTTATTGCCATTTTTGTTTAGTGTGGTTCTATTTTTCTTCCCATTTCTACTACTAATTACAGCAGTCCTTTTAACATTTCTTGCAGTGCTGGTTTGGTGCTAATGTATTCCCTTAGCTTTTTTTTGTCTGGGAAGCTCTTTATTTGATCTTCTATTTTGAATGATAGCCTTGCTGGGTAGAGTAGTCTTGGATTCAGATTCTTGTTTTTCATGACTTTGATTACTTCATGCCATTCTCTTCTGGCCTGTAGTGTTTCTTGTGAGAAGTCAGCTGAGAGCCTTATGGGGTTCCCTTTGTAGGTAACCTGTTGCTTATCTCTTGCTGCTTTTAGGATTCTCTCTTTGTCTTTAATTTGTGGCATTTTAATTACTATGTGTCTTGGTGTGGGCCTGTTTGGGTTCTTCTTACTTGGGACTCTCTGTGCTTCTTGAACTTGAATGCCTTCTTCCTTCACCAAATTAGGGAAGTTTTCTCTCACTATTTTTTTGAATATATTCTCTA